CACTACCAGTAACACTTGGCTCATGGGTGTTAGCCACACCCAGGGTTCGAGTTATGTGGGAGCCAATGGGAGCTGAGCTCCCATAAGGAGGGGTCTGAGCTCCCACGGACGCAGTGAAATCATACATCTGTGGGGGTCGCTAATACATTACCAACAACCATTATTTTAATCAAAAATAATGCATGTGTCAATGTAATGAGTATTATTTACGTTAACGAGGTAAATAGGCTAACACAAAAGTGTGTGTGTGTGTGTGTGTGTGTGTGTTAAAGACCCCCATAGAGCTCAGTTTGTAACTCCAACCCTGGCCACACCCACATTAAATGTTCTAGGTCATAGCTCACAAAATGCAGTTTTAGTGAGCCATTTCCTTCTCTAATCTGGCTTTATATACCACACAATTTAGCCGGTGTTGAGCAAACATTGACATCTGTGTTAGCGTAGCCCGAGTTGTCACACTTGACAGGAAAACGGCGCATGCAGAGCTATTCCAAGAATGGTTCCAACTCTTTCACTCTCCTATAACCTAGTCTTTTTGTGAGTGGGGGGTTTAGTCATTCCCTTGGCTCTCTGTCTGTTCTCTTTCTAGTTCTCACAGACCGGCTAATTTTATAACCCCTGTGATTGGATGTAAACCACAGTTGAAACACAGGACATGATCTAAACTACCTCTCTTCCTACTTGTGGACAGCGAGTCTTCTGAGTCAGTTTCACACAATCACAGAGACGTGAGACAGAGAGAGTTCCTCTGACCACTAGCCAAAGGTGTAAGATATATACAGACTGGAGGGACAGGGGTGTTTGTGTTTTATTATTCATAGAGCCTACATCAGCTTCTTTAACACAATTCTCACCCATGTCTTCAATTTAAAGGTCCCCAATTATACTGATTTCCTTCAATATATTATAGGTCTCAGATATATAAAAAATATGTCTCTGAAGTGTTTGGCTCGAAATACCAAACGGATCATTGTAGCATCCCATAAATTACTGTTTTTTTCTTTAGATGAAAATAAGGAGCCACGCCCCTCTGCGAGACATTTGGTTAAAAATAACACAATGGTGCTCTAGGAGGAGATTCAGGTGATGGGGGGGGTGGAAGTTACCTTGGGTGGTTTTTGGCTAATGGTTACACAAGCCAAAAAAATCGTTATGACGTCATCAAGTGGCCAAAATCTGATCAGCTCATTTTCAGACAGGTTTTTATATAAATGGATCAGGACAAAAAGTGAGCAAATCTTATTTCCTGAAACTCTCTGAATCTTTTGACACAGAGGGGACACATGTTTGAGTATAATATACATGAAAAAGTGGATTTTGAATAATAGGTGACCTTTAATGTTTGTGCAAACCATCCATTAGACAACCTCAGCTTCTTTTGAAATGATCTCAAGCCGTTAAATAAAACAAATTCCTGAAAAGATAGCACTGTTTCATATTACTTCACAGCTAGATTTGTGTTTTTATTTCTCATTCCGATTCCTACTTTTGACAGTTCTTTGTAAAAGATGCGGAGGCGTTCATGGCTCTTTCACCAACGTGCAAAACATCTCCGTTTCCAGACAAGGTTGTGCAGACAGACGAGACAAGGAGCCCTGGGCTGTAGCCAGATATACACACAGAACGCTTGAGAAATCCACAGGATGTTTTTCCCTTTTGTGTGGTTGTACATGTTTCTTAACATGCCCATTAATGTCAGTCCATATTGCATGTGTCCTTGTGTGTATTAGAGAATGGTCTGCATCTGCTTATCTGTGGATATGGGGTTGTTACTCCTCCCTTGTCCCTAGAATACCACTTTGTCATCATGAATATTTCCCAGATGTGGTTCGTGGAGTTTAAGTGTTGCAGGAAATCTTCGGCGGGGGACTTGTTTAATCCTAACCCCGTTCTGTCTGAGCTGCTCCCAGGTGCCTTGGAGAATTTGGGAGAGGAGAAAGGGGAGAGAGACATCACCACGGAGGTGAAGTGCGTCGGATTTTGGGATGGAAGTCTGAATAATTTCAGTTTTGACATGCTGCAGTTATAATAACCTAGGGATTTTTTAAGGCCTCTGGCCAGATGTTAGTCATGTCTGGGCCTTGCGACCGAGAACTAGGAATTAACAGGCTTTCTACAAGGGTCCGCTTAATTGTTGTTAAACCAAAATGTATATCCTAATGCAAACCCAAAAGGCAGATGTGTAGGAGGATGGAAAGTAATACAAAATCTCCAACAGTGAAGCACATTATTTGATTAAAGAAGCTACATCTCACAGACCTTTTTTGGACATTCAAAAAATGAACAGGCTGCAACATGAAATGGAGGTCAAATAAAGAATACTCCCGAGACAAATGGACTTTGAATAATCAATGCAGATGCAAGTCAAAATACATCCTACATATCTGCATGCTAACATGCTCATGTTGACAATGTTAGCATGCTGATGTTTAGCAGGTTTAAGGCTTACCAGATTCTCCATATTAGTTAAACTTGTTAGCATACAAAGATAGGTTATTAACACAAAGTCCGATGTCATTAGCTTTTCATGTTTGTATATATTTTGAATCTAGATGGGAATTAGGCCTTAGCAGCAGTTTATATGACTCTCATACTTAGTTTTGGAAGGACTCTTTGTTAGGCTTATTCCATCACTGTATTTCTTATTGATTTTACACAGCCACAGGTGAGTATTAAGTCAGGGTTCTCATTGAATTACCCACTAAATGAATACCACTATTGATATAGTCTGTCACATACACTGTCGGTGGGTAAATGATCTAGTCCTGAACGGGCCCCGGGACATTTCCAGATATTTGATTATAACAGCGATTGCCAAGTTTAGAAGTGCAGCTCTATGATATTATCACATTCACATCCTGCTTGCATTGGCCAAGGGCCACTCAGTGGTGCTCAGCAAACCTTGATGCCAAGAAAGACCGGTAAGGCAGACAGACAGGCCAGGGAGGGAGGGCTAACAAAAGCACACTCGTTGTTGCCCTCTTTCCTCTCGCTCTGCAACATTAAGCTCACAGTGTGTGGACAGCAGCTCATCAAGGACACGTTGCATTTCTCATTTGATCATAAGCATTGAATCCACACACATGCAATTCTCTCCTGCAGTGCCAGTTATTATAATTTCCTGCTGCTGCAGTTTTTCTTATCTTGGGGCTGATTTTGTCCCTTTCAGGTTTGCCTGAACAACATAAATCACAATAAGCTTCGACACTTCTTTCCCCTTTACATCCCTCTAACACTGACTTTGTAAAGCAGGTGCTAGACTGCTGCTGCTCTATTCTAATTAAAGCCCTCTCATTCAAAATTCAACACCACCTTATTACTGTATAGCTTTTTATTTTCCATTATGCAGCATTTAGAAAATAGTAATGCGCTCATAAGAAAGAATCTCTCATTAGTGATTCCTGCACTTTATTTGTATTTGTATTTACAGGTTTCATATTTGTATTATGTGTCTCTACATGTCTCCATGCTTCAATGTTCAAAAAGCTCTTTATTTTTCTCACACTGCCTGTGCTACAGCACCTCTTTTCACCCTCTGTCTGAAACCAGAGCCCAGTCTGCTCTGATTGGTTAGCTGGCCAGCTCTGTTATGATTTGTCAACAGCTTAGAGATGTCCCACTCCTTAGCATATCACTTACATTGTGTTGGATTGCTAGCCAAAAGAAGCGTGAGTGTTACAATGTGATGTCATATGGAAGAATAAAAGAGAGAAACTCCCTCTGGAGGGAACATTGGGATTTTAGCCTTTGCAGATGTTTTCTTGAACAAAAACCTAAACCTTTGACAGAACTGAATAGAAAGACATTTTGAATTATCATATGACCTTATGAGATTTATCTTGGGTCATGAACTGTTTATGAAAGCATAACCTGATATACTTATATGATTCTGTTTTCTTCAAGGTTGTGTCTTCCTGGTCGAATGTACTTATTGTAAGTCGCTTTGGACAAAAGCGTCAGCTAAATGCAATGTAATGTAATGAAAGCATAACGTTTTTGTTTTTTTAAATGACACAGTGGGAGTTTCAGAGAGGACTTCTGTAAAAACAGCGTTAACTGATGCTGGGGCCAGAAAGCAACCCGCATGGCTCCTCAGTCGGTCAAGTGTCATTTCTCCTTCTCTTTTTCTCCTGCTGGGTGTTGGGCAGCAGTTGTCATCAGAGCTTATCTCTATAAATGGATTTGTGTTGGTGCACTGGGAGATCTTGTAATCTGATTGACCACAACCCCAAAGGTTGAGCCAACTGTGTGTTGCTGTGTGTATCCATATATTTGTGTGTCTCTGACCTGGTATTTGCCACCTTGGTTCTAGATATTTTCAGCTGAGCTAAGCAGGGTCTTGTTGTGGGGAAATAACAGCTGTATGAGAGTTTGGGAGAAACAGTGTTTTTAGGTCTGACGTACATTAACGTGATATGCATATGTGCATTGCTTCGCAAAGACCTAGCATCTGGTCTGCCAAAGAGCAGAGAGCCGGTATCAGAACCGATTTGTGTATGTTTTGTGTTCCTTAGAAAGGTCTGTCATGTTGAATTTGAAGCAAATATTCCTTGTGTTCATTTGAATGCATGAGTTTTTTTGCGTTACATATTTAATAACTACAAACAGCTAGTGCTCTGATTCCAGATATTAGCAGCTGTTATGGATTTTTTACAAAAAGCCGTTACCACATGCACTGGTAGTCCATTCATGACTGGGGAAATAATACACTAATAGCTAATGACAGTCACCAAGGGCTGCTTTGTCCACCACATTCTGTCGGTTCAGTGCTTACCCTCACATAAACCCTGTAATCCTCATTGTCTTATTTTATCTTAGAAAAAATGCTGAAATTAGTTGTTTTTTAAATAAAAAGTCTGTAATAAAGGGTGTTGCTGTTTAAATCAATAATTCTGTCTTTGGGGCACAACCTGGGGAACCTTGTTGAAAGGTTCAAAACAATTCAATTATGTTGCCTCTCGGCTATCTTTTCTTACGTTTCTCAACTAGCCAGTCCCTGCTGGCTTGGTGGATCGCTGCAGCAGTACTGACTGCTTGATGCTGTGAGAGGACACAATGCTGTCCCTCCCTTGATGGGCTGCTGTTAGATCCACACACAAAAGGGGGATACCTAGACTTTTATAATCATTTCATATTCTGCATTCAGCAGCTTTAGTGTGTTGCTGTGTTTTTCTCACCAAAGCCTGATACTCTGCATCGGATTGCATTCCAGGAAGGTTCCTCCATTATTCAATAGTTTGCTTGATCTGATTCTCCACTGTCAGACCTGCTATTATTTATTTATGAGCTTTGAGATGATATGGATTTTAAATACTCCCTCACATTGCTTTCCAGGAACTTAGTTGTAAATAAAAAACTGTAATACGCAGGATTAATGATAAAACTTCTTCTTTCTTTTCTCCATTTCACTCCTTTCAGCCTTCTGAGAACGGACTCTTTAGCGAGTGCCATTTGTTGGCTGTCATGGCAATCCTCAAGCATGACAACTCATTTTCCAAGATGTCATAGAGCAAATGTTGACTGCCTGTTTTTATTGAGCTCCAGAAGGGAGAGGGGTGGAGATGGGGAGGGCTGTAGGAGATGTGCCCATTCATTTATCGTTAGAGAAAAAAACAACCTCCACACCTCCCTTTTGCTCGACTAGACGAGATCGTCACCATGGCAACCGCTCGGCATGCTCCCTGCCAGTGACATGGGAGAAAACCTTGTATCTACAAAATGTCAAAGTTGCGAGAGCAGAGTAAAGAAGACTTGTTAGCATATGGTTTTACGTTTTTGCAGATGTATAAATGATTGAATTACGTTTTAATGAATGTAATCAGCCCATTGAAGTTTTTACCCACAATCCTTGATTTGAAGGTACTTCCACGTGAAAATGCTGCCTCCAGATTCCTTGGCTGCTCAGCGTTCCCAGGTAGATAAATTGTGCTCCTTGTCCCCTTTTGTTTCCCTCCCACCCCCTCCTCCCTCTAGTCTATACACTGCCTTCAGGCCTCCCGTGGGTACTAGCAGGGATTATATATTAGATGGCACCAACCTGCCATCTCTACTAAAGCTTATGCACCAGTATGTTGTCATAAAAATAGACTCAAATAGGGAAAAAAGCATCCAAGTACATTTATTTTTCCTTTTTTGTACCAAAATAAATATGTTAGTAGCGAGACAGCAAAATGCTTTATGTGAAATGTGGCTCTATATCTATGCATATATTTTCTGTCTTTAGATTCTGAAATCAGGGGAACCATTTTAGTTTTAAATGAGGTTGGTCTGGATACATTAGCAGTCGGTGTCTGCTGGTTTTCGAAGACTCATTTGCATTATAGTCGCTCTGCAAAATGTTCACCCCAAAAACACAAACTCATGGTCACATTTTCTGCCCATCACCATTGGGCTCCTTTTTGTGCCATCCTCTCTTTTCCTTTACTTATTTTCCATGATTAAAATGTTCATACTTTTCTTCTGAATTTCCCTCAAAGCATCATCATTATCTGCAAAGTGTGACCTACGGAGCGATATATGCTGTTTCACAATGCTCTTGGCTCTCCTTATCACTTCACAGCCTCCTCCTCTGAGGAAGCGGTCATCTACTCTTAACTTCACATCTTGTCTTCTTGCTACAAACCATTTCTGCTTAAGACAGGAACTGCATCACGCCTTCCCCCTCCAGGTTCTGCTCCTCGTCTGTCTCTGCTCTGTTGTTACATTTCTAATATGCTCTCTGTCCTTCTTGCTCCCTTGTTAAAACAAAGGTGGTGAGCAGCATCCCTTTGAGGCTGGCTGCTGCTCAGTGAGCCCCTGGAAGAGGACTGCTGAGAACCGCAACTCTGCACAGCCAAGATCCAGGGATCGCCTCTCGTCACTGGGCTGTGAGAGCAGACCTCAACCCCCCTCCACCTTCCAGCTCCTGTCCAACCTCTCACTGAAGACGACAATGTGACGATTGGACTCTGTCAGAACCATGTGACCTGCTGTTATGGATCTGAGAATCACCATACATTGAATCAACACTCATTAAGGTAATTCAGCACCACGTGCCCGGCATACATTAGATTGTTTGAATATGTTCAGCTGCTTTTTATGAATTCACTCTTGACATAGCGGGTTTCTTGAGGATTTCTCTCAACCTCCTTTGATTTGCACAGGGCTGTTTATTTTTGTTCGTGTTTTGCTGGACTTATTTTCTTATCACAAGTTCCTGACATATTTGTGGCTATTCAGTCACTTCCTCTTTCGGGAGATTCATGGCCTGAGCCTATGTCAGCTGGTAAATAGGACGGAGAAACAGGAAGTTGGACAGTAGTGTGAAACAGCAGTGAGAACAGAGGGCTGTACTGTAGGTACACTGTAGTAAAACTGCCACTAGCTTGACTGCAGGCTTATTCAAAGTAGTTATATTGTTTGGAAAATACACTGGTAATGTTTGTATTCATGTTTTGTAGTGCATTTTATTGGAAGACCTCGTTTTACTGTAGATCCTGTCTTGCATGTAAAAAAAAAGGCTTTTGAACATGTTTCACTGGAGACTTGAGACTGATAAAACAGATCAAAAGAGGGAGTTGGCTGGTGTCTTCATGGGAGTTTATCAATGCTGTGAGTTAAGCTGTACAGACACTAAATAAAGCAGTTTAACTTAACTGTTTCTCTGATCATTTAAGATCCAGCTGTCTGGTGACAACCCTCCACTCGCTTAAAAGTATAGTAAACAATGAACACGGCCTTTTAAAGACTATCTTATAAATTATTATAAAAGAGATATGACACCATTACAGGAGACTAAATGACTAAATAAAACACATTTTTCTATTGATTTAAATAATTATTAGTCTATGCCATCTACTAAGCTGACTTGAGCTTTCACAGTTGGTCTGTTTCTGTAACATTATAAATACACACATACTGTAATAGTCTGTATATTTATGGACTGATAAACTAGCCATAACAACCCATGGTATTTGGCTAACGGTATTTTATTACTGCGAAAGCCTCCCAACACCCGTGCTTTGACTTTGCTAATATTGAACAATCCCCTTCATTGTTGAGCAAATACAATATTGTGGTCCCCTTCCAAGCTGTTTAAAGACTGGAGGTGTTTGAGCATGAAATAATAAAGAAAATGAGCACATACAGTAGATGGAGAAATGGAAAACAAATCAGACGTCTAAGACGGATAGGAGACTGTTCAAATGTGGGGGCAAGTCATTGTCCATCAACATGTGTTTGCTTGTGCACGTATCTTATCCAGGTTTTTTTTCAGTAGTGTGCGGTGGTCTCGCTCCCGTTTCCGCTTTGGATCAGAGCGGTACAGGAAGGCTGGCTGGTTGGTTGGCTAGCTGCACAGGAAAGGAAACAGTCCCTATCAAACAGCAGATGGAGGACAGCATGTGCTTAGAAACACATACTCACAAAGGCCCACATGCATGTAGTCCTACACACATTAGGAACTATGTGTAAATAAATGTATTAGCTCTTATCAAGAGTGTGACCCAGATTGCACTCTGCAATTGTCAGCTATAGAGAAGTTTTCATAGAGTTCTGGTTGAATGAGAATGATAGAGCACTCTGGCATTTCAATTGCAGTTTTGAAATGTTTTTATAAAAGCAAAGACATTATTATTTGTTATGCTAGAAGGTTATTTTGCCCTTGTGACTTTTCTCAAAGTCCCCCCCCCCCATATCATATTTATACTCAACATAGTGCTGCAGTCCCTTGTTGCTCTTCAACTTTAAAATGTATTCACCTTTAAAAAAACAGCAAAGTTAAAAAGTCTTTGCACATCAGGGACTTTTGCTGTTACTTCAATAGCTTGTCAGAAAGGGTTTTGTTCCCCAAACTTAAAACATATCAGATTAAACTGATCTGAACCCAAGGATTCAATCTGTCAGGATGGGACAAAACAACAGTTCAGTTTTCCTTTTCATCCCCTGAGCTCTAGCAGAACTGATATGTTGACCCTTATGTTACCTCTGTGGCCTGCAGGTCGAACACATTTGTCTGTTGTTGAGATTAATGATACCCAATATATCACCTCCTCTTCCACCCCTCCTGCCCCCCCGCCTGGTGTGTATGCCCCTGATTTCTGATGGCCTGTCACGCCTCCACACCTCTGTCAGGAGTTGTTAGTGCTGGCCCCGGTCTATCCCTGCATGCAGGCCCAACTCACAGAGCTTTTGTCAACAGCGTGTGAAGACGTTGAACTTCCTGTTTCCAAGAGTGCAGCGAGTTCTCCAAAGGGCCTTAAGCGTAAACTCCTCATTTGCTCTGCATATGGTGTGTGTGTGCATTTTCTCATTCATGTATCAAGCCTGCTTAAGAGGGAGGACAATGAGGCTCACTATGGTTCCCAAGGCCCCACTGACTGACTCATATTCCTCTAGACCAAACAACAGGGTTACACAATCTTAATCAACAAAGTGCTGCTCATAACATACTCTGCAGGAGCCGTGATCCTGCAAAGAGGATTGTAAAAAAACGTGTTAAGTTGGGGTTTTGGTTTGGGTAACATAATAACTGTGCTGCCATCTCCAGATTCTCTAGGAGTCACTCACATCCCTTTTTAAAGTCTCACTGTAGGGTTTTATAGCCTGCGTCTGCACAGGTCTGCTCTATCTCTGCAGAGCAGCAGAGGCAGGCTCCTCTTCCTCACTGCGTGGCCCGTTCACTTATCCCTTCTGGTCCCACATCTCCTCTCGTCCTCTTCCTCTTCTCCTCCCCTCAGAAATCAAGTGGCTTTTTGTTCTCCCGCAGCAGTGCACATCACTTGTTTCTCCACGGGTGCCCTCCCCACTTCCTCCCTGTCCTCCTCTCAGGGAATGAAAGGATATTTTGGGGGATAGATCTTGTCTGTCCTGCTCTGATCCCCAAAGACTGTGGTTATCTCTGTCTGTGTCTGAAAATGGGGGTTCTATGCAAGATCCCCCCCCCCCCACTTCTTTCTGTGGGGGTTGGTTTTCCACACGCCTGGTCTTTGCCTCTGCGCTGATGTTAAATAAATCTCACACCAGTAGAACAAGTGTTGTGGATTGTCATGATTACAGGCACTGACACTGCAATTTATTCTACCTCATTTGAGTGAAGTAGGTTTCTCTATCCCACAGGATTTCTCAATTGCCTGTTATTTCTACGCTTGAATAACATGACATAAAAATGAGCCTTATATTCTCAGGGGAGGCAGCGTGGTTGGTTGTAATGCTCTCTAAAACCAGCCTCCCAGATGCCAATCTGAGTCAGCTGTTATGATTCTGCAAAGAACTACAGTCTAATCTGCTTAATCCTTTTTATTGACCATTAAAGTTTCTAAAAAGGAAGTCTGATTTGATTTATGGTCAGTTTAAGAAGTGATATTCCCCTAATGTTGCCACCAGTCATCATTTAGTTTATTGCTTCAGATGTATTCTGATGTTTAAGCTTATTATAAGAAAGGATGTGGTTCCTGCATGGCTAATGTTTCCGCTTTGATTCCTCTAAGTAAATGCCTCAGAACAACTAAAAGGGGAACCACACAGGCTAAACAAATGCATTTTAAAAGAAAAGAAAATGATATCCTGATTAAATACTGGGTGTCATTTTCATATTCCTGTCACTACTATGACTATTGATGGTAGTCACATGTCAATTACCAACACAGCACCAAAAGAGCATCCTACAGCTTTAAAAAAAAAGAAAAAAAAAAGGAACTGCTGTCTGTTATGTGAAAAACACTTTGCAAAGTTAGATGAGAAGATTGATCCCACTCTCGAGTCAATGAATGAAGCTACAGCTATCAGCCCATCACATTAGAATAGCATAAACACTGGAAGTGGGGGAAATAGCTAGCCAGTGACTGAGTGGAGCCTCAGATAGTTGCCTGGCAACCTGACAAAGTCACTGCACCCTGCCATGAAATAGTTCCCTTAGATATCTCCAAACGATATTACATTTAAAAAAATAAACAATAAGCAAAGGTACTACAAATACTATGCAATTTACTTCAACAGTTAAATGGACAAGTGTTGAGACTTTTTATGCAAATTTGTTTTCAAAGCTGTAGGAGTCTTGCGTTCTTGCCTCAACATCATTAGTTGTTTTACTGCAAGTAATAATCATAAAACATAAGGATAACACCCTCCTTGACAAATACCAGAATTGTCCTTTAACCAGTTGAAGAATGCAGGTTCTGCATGCATACATTTCCAGCAAACCACCAAAAAGGACCCTCGCCTCATATTCAATAACCTAAGAACTCATTACGTTACCACTCTATTTAACGTTCATCCTCTTCTTAATAGCTCAACAATTCAAGCAATACATTTCCCATACATCACCGCGCTGACGGGCGCCCAGCTTAAACAAAATCCCATCTTCTTCTTTTTCTCTCTCTGTTCCTCCACAAGTCTCTCACACTAATACCTGTTCACAGCACAGTTCCAATAATCACAGAGTGCTGGGTGGTAATGAGAAGTGTCACAACGCCGGCTTCATCATTTCCAGCCCAGCTGCCACGCATTACGCTGGCTATCGATGGCTCTGATTCCTGGCCGTAATTGCTCTGCTTCTGAATAATTGAAAGAAGGGAGGAGGTAAATCCCAGAGGTGTCAAGGTGGTAGAAAGATAGATGGCTCGGTGTTCAATGCTGTCAGGTCTGGAGGTGTAAGGGGCCTGGCGGACATGATGAGACCCTCAGGGGAAGATTGTCTCCACACCCATGATGGACCACTAGTAGAATGATTTCTGGCACGGTGGTCTTCAGACAGGCCCTGGTGTGTGTGTGTGTGTGTGTGTGTGTGTGTGTGTGTGTGTGTGTGTGTGTGTGTGTGTGTGTGTGTGTGTGTGTGTGTGTGTGTGTGTGTGTGTGTGTGTGTGTGTGTGTGTGTGTGTGTGTGTGTGTGTGTGTGTGTGTGTGTGTGTGTGTGTGTGTGTGTGTGTGTGTGTGTGTGTGTGTGTGTGTGTGTGTGTGTGTGTGTGTGTGTGTGTGATGCTTGTGTCATGTGTCATGTGTCATGTGTCATGTGTCATGCCAGGCAATGTCGATGTGCATG